TTAGACTGAATATAAACTAAAGTAATAACAAAATGATAATACCAAAAATCTCTATCATTTCCCCCCTTTTTATCATTTTACTATGTGTGTAAACTGTTATGCAAAAGCCAAGCATAGAAAAGAAAAGAAAAGAAAAGAACCAATAAATGCAATTTTTTTTCCTAATCTAAACAGAAAATACACAATAAATAAATGGAATATAATGCAATAAATGAAAAATAAAAGAAACAGCAAAAAATCAAATGCAGTTTTCTCATCTCTAAAACCACTTGTTTTCACATCTTGGTGTAGGAGTCATTCAGCAAATGAATTCATCTGTTTATTGATTACAGAACTTCATCATCAGAAAACAAGTCGTCTTTATTTGTGTCATGGGTTATTTTCACCAGCTGATAGCTGACCACAGCAGCGTTAATTGTTTTACACATCATATTTCGAAGGCATGGAAAAATGCAACTTGTGAACAGGCAAAAAAGAATCAAAACACCCAGAATAGGTGTTTCAAGCTTCACCAGTAAATTCCACCATGGTCTGGAAGTGAGCCAAGAAAGAAAATCAAAAGGAGATGATCCTTGTGTTCCACTTTCTATGTAATGTTTAAGTTCTTCCAGTTCCTGTTTCATCAAGCACAAAAGTTCAGCACGTTGGGCCAATGATTTTGCAGACCCCTCCCTGAGGGGCAGTGAGAAAGTCCAGGACAACACGGTTTTGCATAACCATGTTTCTCAGTTCAGTCAGTTCTTTCATGGTGCCATTGGCCAGCTGGTATGTGATGTTGATTAGTCGCAGTAATCCGTACCTGTTTATCTCAACGTGGTCCCGAATCTCACCTATCCCGACCCACGGAAAAAGACTTTGCATAATTTTTTCTCCGCCGTTCCAAATCCTGAATTCCCATGGAACTCCAGTATGTGTTGTGAGGCCTCCCCATCTTTTGACCTCTGACATAACTGTTCGTTTGGAGCGGGTGTGTAGATCATTTTGTGCTTTCCTGATGAACGCAATCGGGTTGATTAGAGGTACCACAGCACACAGTCCTCCCCAATTTTTCGGCAAGAACATGTACGCTTCATTCCCGCATATGAAGTACCAGTCTGCCAACATCCGTGAGCCATAATCTCCTGGCACTATGGCGCTGCACAGTGTTGTCACTTGTCTCCTCTTTGTCTTATGCGTGATGTTGAAACTCCTCTCCTGAAGCAGGTTGTCACAGTCTGGGTTGTCCTTCCAGACTTTGCAGTGTGGAGTCATCTTTTGACCCCTGCAGGCTGTGCAGGTGATGAAATCCTGTGTCGGTTCGCAGTAGGTGTAAACTCTGTTACACAAGTTCCAGGGCACCGTCCCTGGTCGGAGATCTGAGTTGTGTATGGAAACCGGCAGCTGCGCACATACGTAGCAGTTCACAGCATGTCCCTCATAAGCGGTTCTGTTCATCAGTTTCCACCACAGATTGGTACTGTAGTCATGCGGGTGGAACTCAGGCTCGCTTCCTTCTCCAAACATCAAACATACTGCAGTCACAGCGCAGTAGAAGATCCATCTGGCATATGGAGTCCCCATTGCTGCTCGGCGTACAGAGATGTTAGAACACCCAAACTAAAGGAGTGAGAATCTTAACGTTTCTTCACCGGGTTTGAGACGAACTACAACTATAAAGTAGCCCCCCTTTGTACCCCGGGAGCTCTCAAAAAGCTCTCCTTCCTCTCTACTCTGACTTTAGGGGTTTAACACTCTCTGCAGCTTGCAGTGACTGAGATGTATCCAGCTGGGTCTTTCAGCAATCTTTACAGCTGTTGGTGTGGTCATCAGCACTTGGAACGGTCCTTCCCACCGTGGACTCGTCCAGTTCTTTCGTTTGATGACCTTTATGTAGACCCAGTCACCTTGCTCGATGGGAGCGGCCTCCTGCGAGGGAAGAGAATCATAAGGCAGTAACTTTGCTCTGGACACTTCCTTCAGTTTAAGAGTCCTGATCATATAATCTGCTAATGTCTGATCTTCATCAGCTTTTTGTATTCTGGAGCAAACAGAGCCAATCTGTAAGCTCTCCCATGAATTATTTCAGAAGGTGTTAGACCATCAGCTGTCGGGGTGATCCTCATATATAGCTTCACTAAATCTAAGCATTCTGTGGAATACCGTGTGTTGGGATATAGTTTTACAGATAGCCTTAGCTACTGTCAAAGCATCTGCATGCTTTGCTGGAACTATTTCAACCCATTTCAATCATCATCTAACAGTATTTGTTAACTCAAAAGTTCATAACAAAAAAATTTTTTTTATGTATGAATTTAGTAGTTATATAGTATGTAGTTATAGTATTACCTCACCATTTTCCCTTTTCCCCCCTTTTTACACATGGCATTGCCCATGTGTCACAATTAATAATTGCTGAAGATCTTTTAAGTTCAGCAACGTGAAACATTTATATTTTATTTCTGTTCAGCTAAAAAAAAAATGACCATATTTAATGTAAATCAAATCTGAAATCCGTCAATTCAAAATTTGTCCTTTTTAATGTAATGACCATCATTGAAGTCCAGATTAAAATCTTGTAGACTGAAAGTCTAGAAAATATTGCTATTACCCATAATCATTTTTAGAGTAACTAATTTCATCCACCAGGTTTGCGTAAAGTTTCATAGTTTCACTTAACCTTACATTTCAGATGAGGTAACAATGTAAGTTTTTTAGATTTT